AAATCGTAGATTAATTTTTAATATTTCGATTGATATTTATATTTTAAATATTTTTTCAAATCCATATTTGTGTTGAATAACTTCACGATAATTTCGTATGCTTATTATTGATCACATAGAAAAATGTTTTTTCTTTGACGACCAACAAACCACTTGACTTTCAACACTTCTGATAGTTAGTTTTCTTATCAAAATAGAACAAACTGATATACAAATCATTTTCTTTCTTTCGTTTAGGAGCTTGAATAGATCCAAAAAGAATGTCACAAGTTAATGGAAGCAAAAAAAGAAAAATAATACAAGAAAACTAGTAAAACAGACAGAACGAAAAATCGTATATTTGTTTTTTGCCTTGTTGATACTGTTCGATAAGATACTCATTATATATATCATTTGTACATGCATCATTTTCTTTATATGGTGTTCTAATTGTCAATTTTATATTTTGTATTATTCATTGAATTATTATTATTTATATGAACTTACAAGTAGTATTCACAAAAATCTTATATTTAATATATTTACATACAGAATAGAATGGCGTTGATATTATTTTTATTTAAAGTTTCTAATATTGATAATTGCAATTCTAAATTGGAAGTTATTGGTGAAAATGACCGCCCATCAACATCTACTATGTCAACAGCGCAATTTATTAGTGATGTCAATATGACATTCCTGAGTGCTAAAGTTATATTTCAAGGTATCTATTAATAATAGATTAATAGAGAAAAAGAGAAGATAATAAATTAATCGAAAAAAGAATGAAAAATGAAAACTAACAATGCATTCTTTTGTTTTTACTTGAAAAAAAAATGATTTATTTACATGGACGATGTGACAACACTATAACATGTAGCAATTGCTTCTTCTTAAAAAAACTAATCTTGTAGCATCCGTATCTATTCGCTATCTTGATTACGTAACATCAAATATAACGTTTTTTGATTTTCAAATTAATTATTTCCTATTTTGTCTTTGTTTTCAAATCACAGGTATTTATTTCATGATATCAACATTATACAAAAACTTATTTTTAATGAATTTAACAATCCATTGTCAAGTGAATAACAATCCATGTGATGAATACTGAGAAACTATCATCAGTATACCGATTGGTATAACGTGCGCGATATACTGGTGGTAAACCGTCGGATTTTTTTGAAAGTATTATATCATGATGTATTGTATCATAACGGGTGAATAGTTTTGAAGTCTGTTAAAACTGACAGAATTGCATTATTTCCAATGCACTGTGATAATGTTGATAAATCTAAGTTGTCTGTACTAGTCATACAGCTACAATCGACTTTAGTTATGAGATCAATTTTTATTAGGAAAATATATTCTGAAACTGTTTTATTCTCGGTTAGTTTGAATTCTTTGTAATAAATAACTTGACTTTGAATAGAAAACGCTTTCCAGAATCGTTTATAGCTGGAATGAAAAGTTGTAAGCAATACCGCTGATTCTGATGAATATCACCGTATACCGACGGTAGTGTGAACAAACGTGCGACATTGAAATACTGATTTTTAAATAATGTACTGAATGTCGTATTAGTTTTTTTTCTTTTTGTTCTTGATTTAATATGCATTGACTCATTCATTATCGATCCTTATTTACTTTGTTCGCCTACAGATACATTTCGAATGTTTTGTATAATACGTATGAATAATGGGTGTATAATTGCTTAATCTGTCACGTTGCCTATTCATAGTATTGTTTATTTGTAAACAACTATGTTGAAATCTCTCGTGGATATTTCATATTTATAAAGCAAATTTTCATTGACTTTCTTAAATTAAATTTAAATACTTTTAAATATATGAAATAAATGTGCAAATGAATGAAAATAAATTCTCTAAAAAAAACTCAAAAGAAGTTCCAGATAATCATACAAAAAAAAATGTAAGAAAATCAAAATATGATATCTCAATATGAATAATAATTTTGTGTTTTTTGCTCGATATAAATTTTGAATGATTACAACTTTCTATTAAGGTACTAATCTTTGGTCGAATAATGTGCGCATATATAATGGTACAGCAAATTTTGTTGCACGTGGAAACAAACCAAAGAAATTTTATTTCAATTTAGCAAGTAAGTTAGAACCAGATGATAAATTACGCATCGAATTTTATACAATAAATGGGAAAAAAAAAGGAAAAAAACCAATTGCAATTTTTGAAATAATGCTTGAATCGTTAATCAATTCCCAATATATTGATTTACCTGAAGAAAATTTATCTAATCCAAACAATTCGTTATTATCATCAACTGTACAACTTAAACTTTATTATACACCACCAGATATTGATAAACAGCTTGCTACAATAGGTTATGGCAATACCACTGAGTTGATCGATTGGAGAAATATATTTGATGATGAAGGACGACATGGTGGTCATCGATATAGGCATGCGTATTCAAAACATGCTAGCCGATTGTAACTATTTAAATTAATATTAATCAATCCATATTTCTATTTGTTTCTATTGTAGGAGAAAACTTCGTAAAAACTTATCCATTCGTGCAGGTGATGCTGATACTGATACATGTAGTGATTCAGATTTTGAAATAGCTCAAGATTCTGAACAAAAACTTGGATTTATTGATGAAAATGCAAAAGTAAGAGTGCAATATAATGATTTAGAATTATTAGAAAAAAGGTACAAGAAAAAAAAAGATTCAATTTTTATAATAGAAAATTTATTCTATGATTTAAATAAAATATTAGTTTGGGTCGATATGTCGGTGATATATATGAAATGATTGAATGGCAACTTATGATACATATTATACAAGCACGAGATCTTCCAGGACTTGATATTAGTCCATATGTTAGCGTTCAAATTGATAATCAAAAACGATATACAAGTGTACAAAAATCTTGTAATGCACCATATTTTGGTGAAGTAAGATATTCAAAAACAAAAAAAAGAAAAGTCAATATTAAAATATATTTATTTTCTAGTTCTTCACATTTGATTTTACAGTACCAGCTATAAAATTCATGGAAAAAGTTATTTTTATCAAAGTAAATTTTTTCATTTTATTATGATTAATTTATTATGGCTACTATTTAAGTAGTCAGTAAAATAGATGAAATGATCAGTAAAACAAAAATATGCAAACCATCAGTATAAATATTAAACGGTCAGTAGTAAAATTATCAGTAATTAATTGTAAAATGGTCAGTTTATTAAATATAAGTAACAGTAAAAAAATAAGCTTTACTAGTAGAAAATAAATTTAAATAAATTAAAGAACCAAAGAATAAATATAAGAAATTTAAAGAATAATTGAAACAAAAAGAAAATGAAAATTGAATGATTGTATTAGTAAAGCAAATTTAACCTTTCCTGCTACTAATAGTTTTCAATATTTCTAACGAATAGTCATATCCACAACGTGTTTGCATATATAATTCTTCAAAAAAAAGCTAGACAGTTACATTTCGATGTGTTTCGGTGTAAATTATTTTCCATTTTTATACATAAAATATAAAAATGATTTTTTAAATTGATTAAATGTTGTCCATTGTTTTTTATTATGTTTATTTAAATCATCTTGTATAATCGATTGTCGATCATGAGCTAATATAAAATATTTTTTCGACGAATCATTTGAAATATAAATGATATCTTTTATTGATTTAGTCCATTTATGTGATAAAGTCCATAATTCTAAAGATATTGTTAGTTCTGTAGAAAATATTCTTACATTAACTAAGGATAAATCTCGTTCGGTTAATTAATTATTAATGATATTTGAAGAAATTGTTAAAACTCTTCATAAAACATTACGTTCTTTCAATAAAACTGAAGCTATATTTAGTACACAAGCAATTGGTCATCCTAATTTCGTCGTTCATTTTTGTCATGGAACAAAAGAAATAATTAAATGGGTTACAGAATATAAGTACCTTGGTTATCTAATTTCATCAAAGTTAGGTTGGGGTAAATTTTTAATGTATGATGACTAAAATTAGGCAAAGAATTTCCTTGATTAAATCTTTTAAGATCTTTGGTTGTTCTTCTTCACATCTTCGTAAGACTCTTTTTCTATCCTTTGTATTACCCATTCTTACCTGGATTTGTCCGATTTATCCTCTTCTTTCTGAAAAAATAACAACAAGATTTGTCTCATTTTTATTACACTTCGCTTAGGCATATATTGTATTGTTTAAATTGGAATGAAAATTTTTTCGCGTTTGCTCTTGATGAGAAGTCCTTTGAGGACAGATGCTATTTTTATTAGGAGAAATATCTCGCAGCTCTAGCTGATTCGATAGATGGTGAATTATTGTTTGAAAAAGCTAATTTGAATGTATTCAGACAGATTTGAATTGAAAAACAATTCTCAATTAAATGTTTGAGAACATCAAAAAGATTTATTCCTCATCATTCAATAATCGAAAAAATTGTTGGTTGGATGACTTCTATCCCCTCTTGTTCTTCTGTACCTGTTTATGAGATCGACGAAATCCAACTCCTTGAGGATTTCACAAAATCTTTTGTTTTCATGTGTTAATTTTTTTTCTTAGACCTCATTATTGTGTAATATGGTCTGTTATTATGATTTTCTTTTCTTTTTTTGCTGTTGTTGTCTTTTGTTATCTCTATTGTTTCCTTCTTTGTTTACTCATATGTACTGATAGGGTCTTAGGATCACAGTGTTTTTTTAAGCATAATAAGAAAAAAATATTACGTTTCATTATCTTTGATTGTTTTATTGGTTGCCTCTAGGGCGTTGTTTGTACATGATGTATACAATTATATACCTTCATATCAGCCGTCATTTAATTTGAACCATTCATTATCAAATGCATTTTGTTTTTAACCCAACATTCTGATTCCCTTTTTTTTTAGATTTCTTTTATTGTCATTTATTTTATGATCTTCTTCCATTGCTTTTTGATCTGATATATCGGTTTCATATTCAGAAACTTGTATCACTTCCATAGTTACAAATGCTTCAAATTTTATAAACGCAAAATATGTTGTTTTTATTTTAAAATCACTAAATATTTAAACATGAGATTAGGTGAAGACAATGACCAGAGACGAAGTCAAGAAGCTTGTCTTCCTGTGTTTTAGATAATGAACAATAAGATGAATTAAAACAATGATTCTTCTTATTCATAGAATATCTAGGTTAAAAGCAAATAGGTGAAAATAACTAGAACATATTTATGTAAAACAGCTGAGGAGAAAGGAAAGGAAGAATAAAAGTGATGCATTCTATAAACTATTTCAATTTTCATATGGATCCTGGTCTTTTAATATAATCGACTGTTAATAAATTATATTTACTGATTTTGAAATTTATTTACAAACCTAATTAATTAATAACTGACCATTTAAG